GGCTCTAAGGCTCCAAGGCACTCCCTTAGTAGGGAGACTACATTTTGGTGTACGGATAGAGGGAATTCATGTGATTTAAATAACTACATTGTTATTTTACAACATTCTACTGTATCATGATTTTGATATTAAAGTTACGGATTAATCTGATTTCTATTGGAGAATATATGGGTAGGATTCTGGAGTGTAACCCCCTCAGACCGACGCGGGTAGTCTGATCCGATCTGGAGTGTCACATTAGGGCCACCGGAGCGACCCACCGTAAAAATAGCAGAAAATTTAAAACTTTTCTTAAAACCTGTAAAATCATAAAATGATTTATTATTATTCAGAAATAAAACAGGTTTTTCAAACTCAGATATAAAACAAAATACAATCTACATACCCCCTAATCACATGTATCATCCTTTGAATGCAACGCCGGAAGAACTACCTTATTGATGTCAACAGCTGAACCGATACAATTCTATTAACCTGCCATGGTGAGTAATAGAATGAGCTTCGGAAAGCTCAGTATTACAAAACTACCAGATGATGCTACATGACATTAGATAAGTGGAAAACCATATAATTTCCTTATTGAATCAAACATATACAAATTTTCAGGATAATTTGAGGTTCCACTGGTAGTTCATCGAATAAAAGTCATGAATATCTCAGTTCATAGGAAGCATTCATAGTAACACATTTTCAGGAGATCGAATAGGATGTCTAGCGTGTTCCAACAGTACAATAAAATCATAATAGGTACACTAATCAAATGATAATTCAATAAATCTCATAAATCATACTGTAGTGGAGCTTTTAAAACTTGTAGTTTAAAACCATCGTATAAAGAGTTAACCTAAGGGAACATCTTAGGGCCTGAGAGCCTACCCAAGAAAGTTCGGGGCCACAGGGCCTACCTAAGAACATATCTTAGGGCCGCAGGGCCTACCCGAGAATGATCTCAGGGCCGTAGAGCCTACCTAAGAGTTACATTAGGTCCATAAAAATTTTCCAGCTTGATTAGAGTTGTACTTTACAAATCAGTATCTCTAAGATACAATTTATACAAGTTACAAATCCATAAACCATCACCATTAAGTCGGTGCATCCATAAAATAATAAACATAGATTTTAGTGTGCCACATGTTAAAACAATAAAATAATTTATTAATATATAGGGAACAAACTAGAGAATCCAAGTATTTTTCAGAGACATTTTGTAGTCATCAGTATGGATAACAGAAAACTTATACAGTTTGACCAGATTCCAGGAACGAGGTCCTATTGAAGTGAATCGATTACTAACTGGTCTAATCAGACGTTTAAGGTTGATACTTTAGAATCCCACTATGTTTTCATGTGCATCCAGAATAACCGGAGTGATTTGAGTCGAAAAAGAAGAAACAAATATTCAGGGCAATTACTATTCATACAATCGATCGGATTATCGTAGAACTTGAGCTGAACAACTCTCAGAACTGATACCTGTCGACTGGTCAATTCATTGCCCTTCATGGTATTCACTCTATAATACCAACAATTCTTGTCCATAGATCATCTTCAGAATCATCACTAAATATACTTTAAGGAATCGAACATGCATCCCTATAATATTTACTTTCTTTCCACATTACAACAATATCAAGAATTGATGACATATTTGATTCTTATTTCATAACCCATAAGGACAATTCATCATATAAGTTCAACAGTGTTTACATACTCATCCAATCACCTATTTAATCCTTAGTCATTGAGGTTACTTAGTTCGTTTAACAATCAAGTCTATCCTGGTTACTTCAGAGTTTTCCAGATTAATTAAGATGTTTCTGAATTTCAAATACATATTGCATTTCCTTTCAGTTCAATTTAATCTTATCCTAGAGTCATTTTGGTATTCGTGGTTGATTTATCTTACATATATTCATTTCTTATTATCGAATGTGTTCTAGCATTGAGCTGAGTACTTACAAAATTAGCATCAATTCAAACTTGAGGAGATGAACAAGCATTCAAGTGGTTATATGCCATTCAAGTACTGATATAGTACTAGCATTGATTGATTGACTTAAGTGGCGTTCCATAACTTTTAAGAGCAGTACAACATCCATTTATATTTGGATTCCTTAACTAACCCAAGACATTTATTTGGTCTCGACCATAAGGCCTTTTGTTCATTTTAGTGCTCAATGTGTTTCCATTCACTTCAAAGCTTGAGGATATGCATTTATTCTTAGGCTTGGTGATATTCTTGAGTCATTTCCATTCCAGAGGTATTTTGGTCATTTTATTGATCTATGGTATTTCAATCATTTCCTTCCGTCCGGTATTCTTATTTAATTCCAACTTATTATTTACTTCAATATTTTCAAACAATTCTAACAAAAGAGCACCCTCGATAATTTATTCTTAGCTCAGAGAATTTCAGGTCAATTTCCTTCTTGGAAAATACAAACAGGTTATCAAGAATTTTATGTACAAAGACAGGATCTTAACAATCAAATTCATAATTTATCGAGTTAAGTTCGAATCCTTAAAATACTTTCTTATTCAGGGACAACTCAAACTATTTTTACCTCTCAAGTTCATTTTCACAATTTCTTAACCATATAATTTCAGTATTAACTCTTAACGAAAATAATTATAATTTAGAGATCCAATGATTAATTTCTTTCCCGAACAATCTTTAATCTTGAAATGATTCCTTAACAGACTTCTTGTAACTTGCACAAACCCTCTTGGGTTTAAAAACTAGTTATCCAAATCTTCTAAGGAAAAGTAGCATTTATTACGCATATCTGTAATTTTACTGGGTTAATATGTCTTTTCAGAGTTATTAACCAACTTCCAGAGACAATTCTTGTCATCTTACAACATAAGGATATTTTCGTAATTTTATCCTACCGGAGTATTCTCATAATTTTCCATCCAAGTACCTTTGATGAAATAAATTATATGTTACAAATCCAAGCAAATTCATTTATCACTAAACACAAAACTTGAAATTTTTATTCTAACAATCCATCAATTTCTTATAAAAGTCATCTGAAACATAATCAGTTACCGAATTTTTATCGTATTTGGATCAAGTGTAGAAATTAATTAACTACACATATGAGACCAATATTATCTTATTCATTCATTTACCAATATTCACATGTTCCATAAAGCATAAAGAGGTAGTAAAGTATTACCTCAATTTCTGTGCCATACTGATCAACCATTTAAATTTCATTCGAACGTCCTCGATCCTTAATTCAACTTCTAATAATTCTTCAAATAAATAACAATGTAAATTTCATAAAAAATGGGACTTATGAAAAAGGATCGAATCAGTGATAAACCAGCTTACCGGGTTCTAATTTGATGAAACAGACTTCGGATTCGGATTCAGGACGTTCAAAAACATAAAATATGACTTTTACACAAATATCACCCTATGGCTAGGACTTTCCCACTCGCAAGAGGCGACGCGTGCAGTGTGGTGGGGTGTCCGAAAATTCCCGAAAATTTTCTAAAAATTATTTTATGGCATTTTGAGACACTTACCAAGCTTGGTTCACAATTTTGAACGGTGGAGAGCTCGATTACGAAACGTTGGAAGCTTTGACTTTCTCACCCCTCCACGTGCCGGCGGCGAGACACAGAGATCACCGGTGAACTCGGAACGATGCAAGGAACACGATGGTGCAGGAGGTGTCGAAAACGGATGGCCTGATCGACGTGAATCGACGAAAAACCAATAAAAACTGAGTTAAAACTGACGATACTTCCTACTGAAATTAATGACAAACGACGACGATTTACGAGGAAAGGTTTGAGGGTTTTTGTTCATCGGTCAACAACAAACACGATGGTGGTTTCGGTTCGTCAAACGGAGGTCGGACGGTGAGTAGATCGGAGTGGAAAGGAGGGTTGAGGGGAAGGGAAAAATGGGAAGAAATCTGGAAAATCATACGGGGAGGGGGATTATATTTTCAACATATAAGAAAAATGGTCAAATTCAGGACTAAGCCACTGAATTTCCTACACTTCCAAAAATGGTCTGCAACCTTCGAAATTTTATAATTTAATCCTCAATTTCTTCCAAAATACCAATTAAATCCACCACTTTATAAATTTTGAAAAATTAGCCCCTAAATTTGGGTGTTACATGGAGGTTCAGCTCTGATCAAGTTGGTAATTCCTTACGGACCTAAGGAGACCTTTGGGTAGCCCTATAGGCCCCAAGGTACTCCCATAGGCTGACTCCTTTACTGTGTGCTTAGGGTAAGTCCTTATGGATGTAGTTTTGGGGAACTGCATATCGGTGTTCGGTTGGAGGTACTAATGCGGTTTTAAAATATGTTTTAAAATACTAATGTTTTTAAAGGATTTGTATACATTTCTCTGTTTTTTTGGAACACACTAGACTCCCAGTTTAATCTTTTGAATATGTCTCTCTGAATACTTCCTTCGGACCGTGAATCACAGTTTGTAACTGAAGACTTAGCTAATGAAATCTGAAATCATCGATAAAGTTTAATGATGTCTGTCCCACTAAGGAATTCTATGCTTTACCATATACCGATAACTTATTGCATTCATATGTAGTTCTGTATTACTAAGCTTTCCAAAGATCATTATGTTACTTTCCATTTCAGGTTAAAGAGTTTGATTATGTGCTTATACCGACATCAGTGAAGGAATTCCACCGGCGTAGCTTGTATAGTACGATGCAAGTAATTAGTGGGCATGTAGTTTGTGTTCTCTTTTATATTTGAAACTTGTTTTACTATTGAGGATTTTATTTTAATATATAAATGATTTTCTGAACTTTTATTTTATATATAAATTATTTTACAGTTTTAAATGGATTGACAAAAAATTTAAAATTTTCTTGGATATTTATTGTTGGTGGCTCTTGTGGCCCTAATATGACACCTCGGATCGGATCAGGTCACCCGCATCGGTCTGAGGGTGTTACGCCTTGGCTTGCCTTCTATTTCTCGCCTCACTCCCCAATCTCTGACCGTGAAATATGATTTGAGGAAGTATCTTAGGCTTATTCTAGGACTTGTAAGATCTTACTGCATGCTCTCTACTTTGTGAATAGGGTAAGTCCTTACCACATGCCCTTATACTATCAGTATAAGATCCTTATCAGGTGTACAAGTGTGTGTGTGGTTCAAGGAAACCTACACATTCTAGTGTTTGGATGGGGGTAGTGTTCATGTTTTCAATACCTATTTTATAGGTAACTTTTACCGAAGTATTGTATCTGTATTTTTTATATATACAACAAGGAGCACACTGGATTTTTTTGTCTCATTCTTTAATTTTTAACTTTTCAAGAGGATCAATTATTCTCCATTTTGTATCACTATATATTCCTATATTCCTATTTTTTATTTATTTTGGTGACACGTGTTTTATTACTGCCTATGCGTATTTGTATTACTAGTACTTTATTTTTCTAACGTCGACATCTTTGTATTTTTACCACATAGACTTTTTATGATGGTTATTTTAATTATTTTACCGTTACATGGTTCTTATCTGTTGAAAAGTATTTGTATTATATTTTAAATATGAAAAGGATTTCTGAATACGACATGTAATCGTCTAGATTCGGTCGCAACTCCCAAGCTGGATCTAGGGGTTACACTTTAAATACTTCCATTCGAATTATAGTTGATTGTAACTATCCATATATAACTGTCTTCTTTCCTGGAGGTAAATTAAGAAGGATCCATGAATCATATGTTTTCTAGGATTTCGAATTCTCTTTCATAGCTTTATTCCACTCTGAAATTTTTATTGCTTGAATGGTCTTCGAGATCTGAATTTTGTCAAGGGACAATAAATAATTTGAGTGATGGCATTTAGGGCTGTAAATGAGACGAGACAAATCGCGAGCTACTCGGGATCGACTCAGTCAAGGCTCGATAAATACTCAGATCGAATGAACTCAACTCGAGCTCGAGCTCGACTCGAATTCTTAACGAGCCGAAACGAGCTATTTGATACTCGACTCGAAAAGCTCGTGAGCAGCTCGAAAATATAATATATTAAGATTTTTTATAAAAATATATTATTAATAATATTAACATTTATATGTTGATTTTTTTTAAAAAAACATACATTAAGGTTTTCATGTATTTAAAGTTCAGGTTCGAGTTTGAGTTTGAGGCTTCAATCTAGTTATGTTTAAGATTTTTTTTTTCATTTCGAGCTTCTCACGAGCTTCAGTTCAGGATTTCGAGTTTGAGTGAGCTTAAAAAATTTAAGCTCGCGAGTTTTCGAGTCGAGTCGAGTTCCTTTGCAAAATTTTCGAGTCGAGTCGAGCTCAGCATTACTCGAGCTCGACTCGGCTCGTTTACACCCCTAATGACATTAGTTTCCCACAACAATGTACCTCTAAGTAAGGCTGCTTGTGCATTTTTTTACCTCATTTCTCTGAGCAATAAGAAGATCAGAATTATCAATAAATGAAACATAAATGTCACTAGATGAAGACTCCATACCTGTTTTAGTTTCTGAGGCTTTAGGATCTAGTTGTAATTCTTGGCATGTTTTGAGTTGTTTAGTATTCTCTACATTCCTATTAGGTTTATCCCTTTTTGTAGAGAGGCGAAGTTCTTGTGTTTCAAGCTGAGTTTAAGATGATGGATGAGTTTTAGAAGGTGTTTCTATTTTTTGTGGAGAGGTTGTTGTTTTGGGAAGGATTTATTCAAATCCTGAACCGACTTTCAATGATAAGGTGGGAGGATTCATTGTGGAGTTGATTTAGGTACGAAACCTTGCCCGATACCGTGTAGAAAATAGAGAAGACGATTTGGAAGAGAGAGGAGAATGTAATCTTTGTAATTTTTTCATTGAAAATGACTTCACAGGTTAGGCCTTATATATGCAGATTTACAATAGGAATACAACTCTAACTTAGAGTCCTATTAGAAGTTACCTAAATCTAACTAATATTCTATCTAATCTTATCTTTTCTAATATCCTAATTAGATAAGATGCAGAGTACAAAGTAAAATAGAACTCTATTAATTAAATTACAATCTAACTCTAATTTATTTGGCTACAATCTACATGTATCACCTTCATCAGGTAAAACATGGAAACAAAAGATTCCTCCTCCGACTACTCATTACCTTGTTTATTTTCCACTTTTTGGCACCGAAAAATCTATCAACACTTATATTTTTTCATCAAACATTATGTAAGATTCTTAAAGATATTATGTAATTTGTCAAATATATCAAGATTGTGATAAAGAAGAGGAAAAGTTACTTTCTCTGTAGTCATCAATTAGTATAGTAGGTAAATATATTTACACAAGTGGTGAGGTTAGGGAGAAGCAATAATTCGATAGAACTAAGTTCGAAAACAAGATTGAAGTTGGAATTCTAAAAATTCGTAGGTTATAAAAAAACCTTTTGTTCTGGCCATTTTAATGCAAATTGCTGTCATTACTATTTAATTAGACAATATAGAATATTAGGGTTTCCTCTAAGGTTTTATTATCCTATTTATTATCTAATTGTGCTGCAAAATGTAATATGCACTCTTCCAGACCATTGGTTGATAGCACTCCAAGAGTGCATTCCATGCTCTTTTTCTAGCTGGTAGATGGACCTTACTGATCATTGGTTAATATTTAGTGACATTTTTCACCTTTTAGATCCATCTTGATATTGTTTTGAGTTAGTTTTGGGTAGTATCATAGTTATGAACTTAAACACTCATGAAGACTTGACAGTTAGGAAATTCTTTTGAGCTGGTTTTCGGTGTTTTTTCTGTTATAGACTATTGGACTTCAAACACTCAGGTAGATTGAGAATTGGGAAATTCCTTTCTTAACTTCAGTTGGCACCATATTACACATTCTACTCTTAGTTGGAGGAACACATGACCGAAGTTGGCATTGAGGCAACTATCAATAGATGGGATGAACCTTTGGCACTTGGAGCGGTTGATCCGCATGACTCATTATCTCATCCTGCAGGAGTTGTTGATGCTCAGGCTGAGTCTGCTACATGCTGGTGACAAACCGCCAGTGACAAACTTTGACTTTCTAGTTTGAATTGGGTTTAATTGCATGATAGAACCAATGTTGTGTATTTAGAAGTAGTGGTTGGTTTTACTGATCTTTCTTATATTGAATTAGCTAAAATTTTCTTTTCTTCCTATTGTCATTAACAACAGAAGAATTTAGGTTAGATTCAGCAAATATTAAGAGAACAAAATTTCTGCCCGTTTGTCAAAGTCCACAATGATCGAAAAAGAGAATTATCTTGTGGACTTAATGTATACTTCAAATGTTGGTTATATGGTTAACCTTCATTTTTACCCATTTGTTATGTTCTTTTTATTTCTTTATGTGGTAACTTTCATTATTTTAGGTGAAGAAACTTAGAAATAACATTTTTATTTCTTACTAATTAGTTTACAACCTATATAGAGATGACTAAGAACAAATAAGGAAATAATCCCTAAAAATCAGTAACTTCCCTAAGAATCAGTGACTAATATTAAATCCTATTTTACAAGGTAACTCCTAGGACTAAGGTAAGTAATTTGTCCTTAATCTTAGGAATTCCAACACCCCCTCAATCAGGAGTGTAGAATTTATAAAACCCATCTTTATAGGTCTAGTGTAGGGCACTTTTAGTTCTCCCATTAGTCATTGTATCGAGATCCCTTCGTATATACCATAAGATAGTGCATGATACTCTGCATTTGCACTGTTGTATGCTACAACAGATTGTGTTTTGCTTCTCAATGTCATAAGGTTACCCCAAACTTAACTACAATAACCACTTATAGAATACCCATGGTTAACAGACCCTGCCCAGTCTGTGTTAGTCTGGTTGGCAGTTTTCTTGAAATGCAGGCCTTTACCAGGAGTCCCTTTTAGATACCTTAATATCATATACCCAACTTCTAGGTGCTTCTCCTTTGGGGCATGCATGTACTAGTTGATAACACTCACACTGAAGGTTATATCTGGATGAGTGTGAGATACGTAGATAAGTCTCCCTACTTGTCATTGATATCTCCCCCTGTCGATTCTTCTCTATCCTTATTAGTTCCCAATTTAAGATTAAATTCCATAGGAGTTTTGGCTGGTTTGCTTCCCAACAAACCGACTTTTGATAGTAGATCAAGAACATACTTTCTTTGGGAGATGGAAATATTTACTTTAGACCTTACTATCTCCATTCCAATGAAGTATTTAAAATTCCCCAAGTTCTTAAGCTCAAATTTAGTACTAAGAAACTCTTTAAGACTATCAATTTTGCTTGAATCATCTCCTGTTAATATTATATCGTCCACATAAATAATTAGGATGCAATATTTTCCAATTTTTGAGTGTTTGTAAAACATGGTATGGTATGTTTGTCCTTGAATGTAACTCCTACTGATCATAGCTTTGGCAAGTCGGCTGTACCACGCCCTTGGAGATTGCTTCAGCCTATGTAAGGACTTCTTCAACTTACACACTTGACCCTTGCTTTCTTCAAGTCCAGGTGGGAAATACATGTACACTTCATCATTTAATTCTCCAATGTGGTTAGCATTTTCTACATCCAATTGAGTCAAGGGCCAATCCAAGTTGATAGCTAGGGATAAAAGAATTCAAATGATGTTTAGCTTAGAAACTTGGGAAAATGTCTTATCGTTGTCATGGCTATAGGTTTGAGTGAAGCCCTTAGCCACAAACCGAGCCTTGTGTCTGTCAATACTGCGATCAGGTTAAAATTTTATAATGAAGATCATTTGCATCCTATTGTCTTCTTCCCACCAGGTAGATTTGAGACTTACCAAGTTTTATTGCTTTCGAGAGTCTTCATTTCTTTCATCACAACTTTCCTCAACTCAGTTGATTTAAGAGCCTCTTATATATTTTTTAGAGTTTCTACAGAATTAACATTAGACACAAAAGCTTTGTAAGACTTAGATAAGTTTTCTTTGGACACAAACCGAGAAATATGGTGTTGTGTGCAGCTCTTTGTGCCCTTCTAAACTGCAATT